TGAGCTCAGCCAGTGAGGATGACTTTGACAGCGAGGACAGCGAGCAGGAGCTGAAGGGGTACGCCTGCCGCCACTGCTTCACCACCAGTAAGTGGGGCTGGGGCTGGGGCAGGGGCAGTCAGTCGCTGGAGCAGGCCAGGCCCAGACGCTTCCCTGTTCCAAATGTTTGGGGAGTTGAATTGAAGACCCGTCAGGGCAGTCACTGACTTGACATGTGCACTGTCTTCAGGGCTACTTAGAAAGTTGAAGATCTTTATTTTACTTCACTCTCCTGTGTGCAGTCAGTATGGGGTGCTGACCAGTGGGTAGGACAGACTTGCTCGAGGTCGGGGTGGAGGTGCCTGTGTTTCTTGAGAGTCTGCTGCCAGCTCTTTCTGGGTCTCCTGAGATGAGGTGGGGGTGGTGGATATTCCTGAAATCCTCCCCGTTCCAGGGAGAGAGGAGGACAGCATGAGCATCTGAGCCCCCTGAGTGATGCGTCTGTCCAAGCCTATAGAAGGGTCCCTTTGCTCGGATGTCTGTCCCCAAAGATGTTGGGTTTTGAGTTTGGGCCCCTATGCCCACCTCTCTTTCTCACACAGCCTCCAAAGACTGGCACCACGGGGGCCGGGAGAACATCCTGCTTTGTACAGACTGCCGCATCCACTTCAAGAAATACGGCGAGCTCCCCCCCATCGAGAAGCCCGTGGACCCCCCACCATTTATGTTCAAACCTGTCAAAGAGGAAGACGATGGGCTCAGTGGGAAACATAGCATGAGGACACGGCGGAGTCGTGGCTCGGTGAGTCCTGTGGCCGGCAGCCTGCCCTCAGGCACTGCTGACCACTGCTCTAGGTTCCTGGGAGGCTAGGGGCTGGCGCCCACCAGGAAGACAGGAAGTGTTTACTTGCGGCAGAGAAACAGACCCCTGGAGGTGGAGTGATTTGCCCAGAGGCGTTAGCTCTGCCTGCGGGGTTGGGAAGAGCCCTCTGTTCCTCGCATCCTCCTTGGGCAGTCAGCAGGCATTGGTGTTGAGGGACAGATACACGCCCTCCGCTTATTTCTACAGGGAGCTCTTCTGGCTGGGTTTCTGGCTCATTGCAGGCTCTCCAAGGCTCTCACACCTTCCTCTGGCCCGTGGGCCAGTCACCCTCTTGTGTGGCATATCTCTGCTATTCGAAACTTGCAATCTCTTTTTTAAATATTTGATCCAGCTTGGGGAAACTTTAGGTACATTTTTCTACTCACTGCATAGCCTCTTCCATAAGAGGCTTGTTTCCCAGGTTAAAAATATGACGAAGGACTTTTGAGAGAAAAGTTTTCCCAGGTGAGGGGCAAAAGGTACCGTCAGAGTCTCCATAGAGCGCTGGCCTCCCCAGTGGCACCGTGCACATTCCCCTGACCCTGGCGTCCTGGTCTCTGCTTGCTCAGAGGGGAGCTGGTGGACTAGCATGAAGCACTATACCCCCGTCTCTCCTGAGCCCCTGGGCTTTGCAGAAACATTACCAAAGGCTTGGTGGTTTTAGGAGTTGAGCTACATTGACAGCTCAGCTCTTTGGGGTCACTTCCCATCTTGTCAGATGAAATCAGCGTGTGTGTGTGTGTGTGTGTGTGTGTGTGTTTGGATCTGGTGGGAAGAGTGGGCAGTTACACGGAGTAAACAGAAAGGGGGAGGTGACTTCAGGCTGACTTTAGGTGTAATTGTCACTCAGGAGAACGTGGCAGAGTAGCTGCCTTCGCCCCCCAGAGGGCCTCCCTCATGTCAACTGCACATCATTCAGGACAGTCCCCGAAGATGTGTGCTTAGTTTAAGCTGTGAGTTTTTCTCTTTTTCCATGTGAACCCACCCATTCACCCTCTCCTCCCTTTGCTCCACATTGACCCTCATGCAGTGGGGGACGGCTAGAGGTGCCTGTGGTTTGCCAGGGGCCGGGATTTGCTGTATGGCTGTTGGTGGGAACTGCTCTTGAGGCTCTGCGGGGGAGTGGGCTCAGGTGGCCCATGTGGAGACTAGGGTCCAGTCTGACCAGCCTCCGGTTTGGGTGGGCAGATGTCTACACTGCGCAGTGGTCGAAAGAAGCAGCCAGCCAGCCCTGATGGTCGGGCCTCGCCCATCAATGAAGACATCCGCTCCAGCGGCCGGAACTCCCCCAGTGCTGCCAGCACCTCCAGCAACGACAGCAAAGCAGAGACAGTGAAGAAGTCGGCCAAGGTGAGGTGCTGGGGGCCGGGGTGGGAGCTGGACACCACTGACACCTGGGGTGGCTGCTGGAGCTCAGCCCCCTTGAGTCCCTCCCGTTCACGGAGCTTCCCCAGTCACCAGCACAGCCTCAGCCTGAGGCTGCATGGGACTGGGGCCTGGAGAAAGGGGGTCCCTGCGGCTCCCAGCACTGACCCTCAGGGGCCACCTCTGCCTTGAGATTCCCGTCCCCAGATACTTGTTCCTTCCTGGCTGCACTGGCCCCTTCTAGAGCTTTCTTGCCCCTGGGGATGGAGCTCAGAATGCGGGACCAGGTGTCAGCCGGCCGCAGTCGTCAGAGGCTGCTGGGCCATCCTCCTCGACCTGAGGCTTCTTGTGGGCTTTCCCACTGCAGAAGGTGAAGGAGGAAGCCTCGTCACCTCTTAAGAGCACCAAGCGCCAGCGGGAAAAGGTGGCCTCTGATACGGATGAGGCCGACAGGACCAGCTCCAAAAAGACAAAAACCCAGGTGAGGTTTTGCAGCTGAGTCAAGTGACGGCAGCCAGCAACTAGTGTCTTTTGAAAAGCTCCCCTCCCAGATTCTCCCTGGGTGGTGGCAGTGTCCTGGCTTCTAGGGAGGGGCCTAGAGTAGCCCCCGAGACTGGCTGGATCAGGGCCGGGCCTGTGGTCCCTGGAGCCACGCTCGCTGCCTCATTGCACAAACCTTGCTATGGTCCGGGCGCCAGCATCGCGGGGCGGAGAGAGCCACCCTCCCCTAGAGCCTCCATCCTCCCTTTCCTGGCCCTAGGAGATCAGCCGGCCCAACTCACCGTCTGAAGGCGAGGGAGAGAGTTCGGACAGCCGCAGCGTCAATGATGAGGGCAGCAGTGACCCCAAAGACATTGACCAGGACAATCGCAGCACGTCCCCCAGCATCCCCAGCCCTCAGGACAATGAGAGCGACTCGGACTCCTCGGCCCAGCAGCAGATGCTGCAAGCCCAGCCTGCAGCCTTGCAGGCTCCCGGTGGGGCTGCTCCAGCCACCTCCTCAGCACCCCCAGGAACCGCCCAGCTGCCCACATCAGGGCCCACGCCCGCTGCCACTGCTGTCTCTTCACAGGGCTCCCCCTCAGCCTCCCAGCCCCCCAGCCAGCCGCAGGCTCCGTCAGCTCCTGCTCCCCACACCCACATCCAGCAGGCGCCTGCCCTACACCCGCAGCGGCTGCCCTCACCGCATCCCCCGCTGCAGCCTCTGACAGGGCCAGCGGGCCAGACGTCCGGCCCGCAGCATCCTCAGCCTCCACTACATGGTCAGGGCCCGCCTGGCCCTCACGGCCTCCAGGCTGGGCCTCTGCTTCAGCACCCAGGCCCCCCTCAGCCCTTTGGCCTCCCTCCCCAGGTCTCCCAGGCAGCAGCTCACCCTCACACCTCCCTGCAGCCCCCAGGCTCTCAGTCAGCCTTGCAGCCCCAGCAGCCCCCACGGGAGCAGCCCCTGCCGCCAGCACCCTTGGCCATGCCGCACATCAAGCCCCCGCCCACCACGCCCATCCCCCAACTGCCAGCACCCCAGGCCCACAAGCACCCACCTCACCTTTCAGGGCCCTCACCCTTCTCCATGAATGCCAACCTTCCACCCCCACCAGCCTTGAAGCCCCTGAGCTCCCTGTCCACCCACCACCCTCCTTCGGCCCACCCTCCTCCCCTGCAGCTCATGCCTCAGAGCCAGCAGCTGCCCTCCTCCCCCGCCCAGCCCCCTGTGCTGACCCAGAGCCAGAGCCTGCCCCCTGCCACTGCCTCCCATCCTCCTGCAGGCCTCCACCCCATCCCCCCTCAGCCCCCATTTGCTCAACACCCCTTTGTCCCTGGGGGCCCTCCTCCCATCACCCCTCCAACTTGCCCCTCCACCTCCACTCCTCCGGCGGGACCCGGTCCCTCGGCCCAGCCACCCTGTTCGGCTGCTGTTTCTTCGGGAGGCAACGTACCTGGGGGGGCAGCCTGCCCACTCCCCACGGTCCAGATCAAGGAAGAGGCTCTGGACGATGCCGAGGAGCCGGAGAGCCCCCCGCCCCCGCCTCGGAGCCCGTCCCCCGAGCCCACGGTGGTGGACACCCCCAGCCACGCCAGCCAGTCGGCCAGGTATTGGTCCCCAGGGATCTGGGGTTGAGGCGGCCTCGGCTTCGGCTTCGGCAGGGACCCCAGTGAGACACCGGGCCTTTTTTAGGTTCTACAAACACCTGGACCGGGGTTACAACTCATGTGCGCGGACGGACCTGTACTTCATGCCTCTGGCGGGATCCAAGCTGGCCAAGAAGAGGGAGGAGGCCATCGAGAAGGCCAAGCGGGAGGCCGAGCAGAAGGCGCGAGAGGAGCGGGAGCGGGAGAAGGAGAAAGAGAAGGAGCGCGAGCGGGAGCGCGAGCGGGAGCGGGAGGCGGAGCGAGCCGCCGTGAGTTGGGCCTCGGGCAGCCCTGCCTGGTGGGCTCCCGGGGGCTGGTCCCGTGGGTGGGCTGGCCCCGCGCACCTGCCTGCTTTCTCTCGGTGCCACGTGCCTTACCTTCGCGGGCCCCGGGAGGCTCGGTCACTGCAGGGTGCAGGCGGGCAGCGTGGCCCAGACCCCCGCTCCCGGACTTCTGCGCCCCGGGCTCATATCCTCCCTTCCTTTCGCAGAAGGCGTCCAGCTCCGCCCACGAAGGCCGCCTCAGCGACCCCCAGCTCAGCGGTACCGGCCACATGCGGCCATCCTTCGAGCCTCCGCCAACCACCATCGCGGCCGTGCCCCCATACATCGGGCCCGATACGCCAGCCCTCCGGACTCTGAGCGAGTACGCGCGACCCCACGTCATGTCGCCCACCAACCGCAACCACCCCTTCTACATGCCCCTCAACCCCACCGACCCGCTGCTGGCCTACCACATGCCCGGCCTCTACAACGTCGACCCCACCATCCGCGAGCGGGAGCTCCGGGAGCGCGAGATCCGGGAGCGCGAGATCCGGGAGCGCGAGCTGCGAGAGCGCATGAAGCCGGGCTTCGAGGTGAAGCCCCCGGAGCTGGACCCCCTGCACCCGGCCGCCAATCCCATGGAGCACTTCGCCCGGCACAGTGCCCTCACCATCCCCCCGGCCGCGGGCCCCCACCCTTTCGCATCTTTCCACCCGGGCCTGAACCCCTTGGAGAGGGAGAGACTGGCCCTGGCGGGCCCCCAGCTGCGGCCTGAAATGAGCTACCCGGACAGACTGGCGGCTGAGCGGATCCATGCCGAGCGCATGGCGTCCCTGACCAGCGACCCCCTGGCCCGGCTGCAGATGTTCAACGTGACGCCGCACCATCACCAGCACTCGCACATCCACTCTCATCTCCACCTCCACCAGCAGGACCCCCTCCACCAAGGTGGGCGCCCTCGTGGGGCTCTGAGAGGGTGGTGGGCTGAGCTCTGGTGTGAAGGAGGTTTGGACCCCAGACAGAGCCGCTGCCCCAGAGCAGAGATTGCTGGCTCCCGGCAGAGCTTAGGGTATCCAGCCTCCACCTAGGAAGCCGTTGTCCTTGCTCGGCCCCTCGGCTCTCCAGAGCTGCAGGTCCCCCAGAAAGCTGAGTCACTCTGAGGCCTTCTGCCCACAGCCTCATGAGAAAGCTTAGTTTCTTGGTCCTGTGCCCGGGGTAGGGGGCGGGGAGCGGGATGGAGAGGAGCAGCCTGTACTCACTGGAGCAGGTTGAGAGCAGAAGGCAGGACCCAAGGAGCAGGACGAGGCCGGGGGCCTTTGGGGCCAGGTAGAGGCACCTAGCACTCCCAGGGAGGCTACAGGTTGTCACTGAGTGGGAACTTTTCCGTTCTCCTTCAAGGAATGGGGCTTGGGCTTCTGCTGGCTTTGAGCTGGCTCTCCTGGCCAGGGCCACCCAGTCCTGTGCGCTCTGGGAGCATGAGCTTCTGAAGGCCCGATGACTGGCCAGCTGCAGGTGCAGGCTGGTCTGAGGCAGAGACAGGACCGGCTGGAGCCCTGCTCCCTGTGCAGCTCTGCAGCGTAGCCGGCCGGGGTGGGAGACGGCCTAGCCCTGCTCCCAAGTCAGCAGATGTGCCTCCAGCCTAGGCCAGGGCCTGCCATAGGGGCGCATGGGTCTGCCTTCGTGCTGGGAACGGGGTGCGGGACAGAGTGGGCCACAGGGAGGGAGGGCAGCTCCTTTATTCCTGTTTATGTATGCATCCCTGTCTGACGAAGGAAGCAAGAGCTGTCACACTCAGCCTGTGGTCCCAGCACCTGGCACCTCGATGCCACCGGTGTGATCAGCAGATGTAGCTGGTTCTGTGTGAGGACAGACAGGCATTCATTCACACCACGTTCGTTCATTTGACGGATGTCTGCTGAGCACCTGCGAAGTGCCAGGCACAGCTGTAGACGCTGGTGACACCCTGTCCTTTACCTACCACGCCTGGTGGGCAGCCAGTACACATCTCGGTTTATGAAGAGCAGTCAGCGTTCCAAAGGAAAACTGAGCAGGGAGAGGGAGGAAGAGAGCTGGGGGCAGCTTCGCAGTTGTAAAGAGGGCAGTGGGCCAGCCTCACCAAGCAGGTAACTGCTGAGCCAAGTTGCCACTGGGGTGAAAAGACGAGGAGGAGCAGCAGGAGCACCTCCAGGCCGAGAGCCAGCGCAGAGGGCCCGAGGCGAGGCAGTGCTGACTCCAGGGAACCAAGGGGTCCCCTGGGATTTGTTGCCAGCAGAGAGCCCCCCCCCAGCTCGTGGCCCCATCCAGCAGTGCCTGCTTTACTGGCCTTTTTGGGGTTCGACAGCTGAAGGGCCAGAGAGGCAGCCCTGGGAAGGGTGCTGGTCCAGCCAGTGGCTGGGAGGAGGAACACTGGCTGGGGCAGGACCGGAGTGGCCCTGGGGTTCCTGTGGACCTGCCAGGTGCAGGGCGGGGCAGTTGGCCTGGTGGGCTGTGCTGATCTGGAGTCCTCAATGAAGCGAGTCTGGGGAGGCTCTGCCTGTAGGGGGACTCAGTAGTGGGAGGAGGACAGGTATGTGTAAGTGGTCAGCTCCTCACTCCTTTGTTACTTTCTGGAGGTGGGAGGAGGGCAACAGCCACTTTGGGTCAGGGTTATTGGTGGCCCTGGTGACCAGGAGCTAGCTGTGGAGAGGAGGGGGTCACTGGGGGTTACCGCCAAGGAGGGTGCCGCCTGCATCTGCACTTCTGCCCCCTTTTTAGGCTCAGCCGGCCCAGTTCACCCACTGGTTGACCCCCTGACTGCTGGCCCTCACCTGGCTCGCTTTCCCTACCCACCCGGCACCCTCCCCAACCCTTTGCTTGGACAGCCCCCTCATGAGCACGAGATGCTTCGTCATCCGGTTTTTGGTAAGAAAGCACCTGGGGAAGGAAGGGTTCAGGGTGAGAGGTGGGTTGGTGGGCTGGCCCGGTGTCTCTTCCGTTCACTTATTCGTGTGTTGAGCACATACGTCCTGTGTGTTGGGAATCTGCTTGGGGACAACGCAGGCAAACTCTTGTCTCCAGAGAGCTGGGGGGCGGGTATAAATGCCCAGTGAGTGCCAAGACCGTGGGGGGGCAGTGGAGGACGAACAGAGGTGCCGAACTCAAATGAGGCTCAGGGAAGGCATCTGTGAAGGAGCAACACCAGGCTGGGGACTGAGGCTCCGGGCAGGGGATGCAGGGGTCGTTTTCCTCTCTCCCCTGGGGGGCTCTGCTCTAAGGGTCCCTGCTGAGTAAGTAGCTTTTTGCTCGTCCCCCATCCCCTTGGGAAGCTCTCTCCTGATCTGATCTCTTGCCTCTGGCTGTGTGTTTGGCAGGCACCCCCTATCCTCGCGACCTGCCTGGGGCCATCCCACCTCCTATGTCGGCGGCCCACCAGCTGCAGGCCATGCACGCCCAGTCGGCCGAGTTGCAGAGACTGGCCATGGAACAGCAGTGGCTGCATGGACACCCCCACATGCATGGCGGCCACCTGCCGAGTCAGGAGGATTATTACAGGTGGGGCGGGGCGGGGCGGGGCGGGCGGGGCTGGAGGCCCCTGGCCTGGCCTGAGGGCCGCCCCTCCTGGCTGTGCCCATGCTGCCCCTCCCCCTTGTCAACCCCCCATGTCAGCGTCAGACTCCTCCCCCTCATCAGACTCCTCCCTCTCGTCTCTACCAGGCCCTGGCCTCTTGGCCGGGCTTGGGGAGGGGAGACGCGGGAAGGGGCAGCAGCGGGCCCGGTCCTGCCTGCCCAGTCCTGATACTGATTCCTTTTTCTTTTTCTTTTTTTTTCCCCATTCCAGTCGACTGAAGAAAGAAGGTGACAAGCAGTTATAAGTTATTTATTTGTTAACGCTGGCTGTGGAAACCTCAGTTCTTGAGGGGGGAGAAACAGGACTTTTTACATACAATAGGAGCTGCAAAAGCAAAAGGAATATCTTCTAAAGATTTCTTTATATATTTAAAAACCCCACAACTGAAAACATATCAGCATAATAGTGTTTGTTTGTAGAGAGGGTTCCTCGAGACTGGTTTGGGTCTCCCTGCATGACAGTCCCCCAGAAACTTAGTGAGGCCTGGACTGGACTGAACATTCGGAAAACTCGCCTGTGATCTTGGGGTTTGCCTTCAGTTTTCTTTTCTCTCCTTGATTTCTGCAGTAGGTGCTAGAATCCAGCTCACGCCCTCCACTGTGCGTGCAGACACACTCAGCTGCGTGTGTTCCAGAGCCCACAAGGTTTGCAGATAGGCAGCATATGAGTTTGGAATCCAAGAGCTATAATTTTTAAAAAATCTTTTATTTTAATACATTGTAGGAAATCTTCATAATTTGAGAAAGTTCTGCAGCATGGCTTTTTACGTCTGTAAATAAATAATTTTAGAACAGCCTTTTTTTTCTTCCACAAACTGCTATTCTGATCTATTTTTTCCAGCCATGTCACTAATTGTGAATTCCTACCAGCTATTGACAGAATACAGAGTTGATTTTTTAATAAAAAGTTATATATAATTATCCCTTTAATTAAAGGGAACAGATGGGCGTTACTAGTTACAAACGGGCAAAAGCGTGGAACTAGGTTTGGGTGCAGCAGGGAGCAGCCAGGGACAGTGTTTTGCAGGGACAGTGTTACAAACAGTGTCTTTGTTTTGCTGTTTGGTTTTCACTTCGGTCTGTTCCCGGCTTGTGCTTTGCCAGCGGTGCAGACATCTGCTAGCTTGAGCCTCTCTTATTTTGCACCAGGAGCACAGGAGTTAAATGTCCCCCGTTCTGTCTCTGCGCAATCGAAAGCACATGTTTCTGTGTGTCTGACTGTAGATTTCCGTATAGATTTCTCTGCACGTGCATTTGATTGTTCTGGACGGACTGCCTTTTTTAGTACTTGGACAGTTTCATAAGCATTCTGGAAAGTTCAAGAAAGTGATTCCCTACAAGTCACTCACACGTTTGCTCGCCAAAGGAATCTGTTAGAAATCTGAGTTTTTGTGTGTGCCGTCGTTTGGATTGTCTTGTGGTGAGGCCGGGCCATCCTCGCCAAAAGCCCCAGGCGGCTTGTGAGTGCGGGGGATCCTGGAGTTGGCCTGGTTGTGGGTGGCAGCCTGTGTGTTACCCTAGGAGCATTGACTCGCGTTGGACTGGGAGGCCGTTTGGGTCCCACTTTTCATCCTGGAAGTAAGGCGGGAGTCGGGGCCGCAGACACGGGGCGGGAAGCAGGCTTCCACCTGGGGGCCGCTCCCCAGGGGTCAGGCATCCCGCAGAGAGCCCGCCTCTGCTTTCTAAGTTGCCCATGTGATGGGTTTTCTCCAGAAAGTGTTCTGCACCTGTCGAGCAAGCTTTCTGCGCGGATGTGACCTTTTCTGTTCCTCTTCTCTCCGATTCTTGAGGTTGTTTCTGCCGTTGTATGCGGTGGTCACATCCAAGTGTTGTCAGACCACAAGGGAGACTGAGGGTTAGTGGACGTGATGTGGGTCCAGGACCGGAGTCACAGCAGGTAGGTCGAGGGGCTGGTGCTTTGACCCAGAAACCAGCAGCTGTTAGCTCAGGTTCAGGTTCCGGATTCAAACCTGCACCGAGGGCATTTCCAGTTTCTATTAAAACCATGTTTGGTTTCAGTTGGGACAGGTAGAGGATGGCTTTGTCTGTTGAAAATGTAGCTTGTTTTTTTTCTTTGTTTTCTCGCATTCCATTTCTGCCTTAACTTCAGCTCCTTGAGGGGAGGCAAGCGCAGATGAACACTTTGTCATCACTTTGGTGGCCGCATTGGCAGGAGGTGTTTGCGTCCCTGGGGCTAGTGACGGGCCGTGGCGCCTCTTCCCGCGGGACCCGGGCCTCCTGCTGCTCCCTGACTCCTGCGCTGAGGCCCCGCCTTCCCCCCTTCTTTCCCCCTCTTGGTAGAACATGATGCCTACCTTTCGGACAAACCTTTATCTCTTCTGTCACCCGTTTTTCCAAAGAAGGGAGAGTGAAGTACTTTGAAGTCTGTACTTGAAAACTGTCTGAAGGTGTTCTCTCGTTAGGTTTTGATTTTCTCCCCACACCCCCAGGTGAAGCACTGAGATTTTCCATGAAAAACCCACAACCCGAAACCCTCACCTGGTCACCTGCAGTGTGTTTAGGAGGCCCCAGACCTTCTCGGGGCCTTTGAAGCCCGACCCCTTGGTTTCCGTTTGGGTTTCCTTCCTTTGTTCGGAGTTTAGTTTCCCTTTTCCCGGTTTCACGTGTACCTTGTTCCACGTCGTCAAGGTTGAGCTTCACGTCGCCACAGCGGGAGCGGAGTGTACATTCTGAGTTGCTGCGTTTATATATATCTTGAAGCTAAATGTATATATGAGTAGTTTGCCATGAGACAACACAGTGTAAACAGTAGACACCCAGAAATTGTGACTTCTGTGTTCTCTCCATTTGAGTATTTTGTAATTTTTTTGAAATACTTGTGGACATAAATAAAACCAAGCTACACTACAACTTCTGGTGGACTGTGGTGCACTGCGTCTCGTTCCTGGGGGGGGCTCAGGCGGAGGCTTGGCGGTTGCCCCCAGCCAGCCCGCCCCCCGAGTGGGGAGGGGGCAGCGGCTCACCAGCACCCCGCTTACCTTCCGGAGCGGCTTCCAGAGAGATCCCGTCTGCACTGAAGAAGGGCTTCTCTGGTGAGAACACTTGCCCTCTCTCACCTGCAGCTAATGGGCCTGAGGGGGTGTCACTGGGACCAAGAACACCCTCTCCTCTGCCCGGGAGGGCTCTGAGCCCCCAGCCAGTGCCGTGGTCTCCTGGCCACTCCTCCTGCCTCGTCCCCTCCCTGAAGCCTGCCAGTGCCCCACCCTACCTTCAGCTGCAGTTGGCCTCCAGGTTGAGGTCGCATCTTAACCTCCCCAGTCCCCTCCCTAGGAATCTTACCCACAGACTTCGTACCAGGTGACCTGCTAGGTGTGGGCATGGCCACAAGGGGGCAGCAGTCACCAGGATGAGGTCCTGTGGTTTCAGAGCTTGTCAAGGGTGTTTTCCTGAAGCGTCAAGACTCGCTGGAAATTTATATGCTCGCCTTTTCACCTGGGATGTGGCCATGAGTTTCCAGATGTTTTGGGAGATGTAGCAGGAGCGACCCAGAGCACTGAGTCAGACCACGCAGGGTCTGCCTTGTGGAGGCTTGGGGAGCAGCCCGTGGCGGGCACTACCTGGTTCAGGCGCGAGGAAGGTGGGCCCCAGAGGTGTGCTTGCCTGTGGCCCTGGAGACAGTCTTGAGTCCTCCAGTGGCAATGTGGGTGGTGGGGGAAGGTTGGGAGGGGCCTGCAGACGTGGAGGAGGCTCGTCTGCCTGGGTCGTGGGTAAGAACGTGGGAAGGAGTGGCCAGGGACGTGGAGGGGCGAGCGGATGGGGTCCCGGCACCATCTACCCTCAGCAGCCCCTCCGGTTTCACTGCCACGTGGACGAAGAAAGTGGCACTTGGCGGGGCTGGGTGCGCAGCCACCACGCTGATAGGTGTCCGTGCTGAGGGCAGGTGAACGTCACGTAGGCACCACCTGGGTAAATCGAGGCCACTTACCGCCAGATTAGGACGCACCAGGGAGAGATGGGCTGCTACCTCCCACGCCGACGTCGAGTTCAGGGTCGCACCGCTGTGCAGTCGTGGGTGCGAACCACTGGTGAGCAAGGGCTGGCGCTGCGGGGCCTCTGTAGGGAGACATTCGGGGATCCCCCCTCATCCGAGCCGGGTGCCCTTTGCCAACCTCGGGCCTTATGATACACGCTCTGCCTGCACGGAGACCTGGGGCAGTGTAAGGGCACCACACGGACTACAGTCGCCCTCAGCCTCTGGGCTGAGCCAGCGGGTGCAGGCATGTCCTGAACTCAGAGCTGCGGAATCAAAGCCCCACCAGTTACCCTGACACCTGGGGTCAGGCTGACAAAGCCCGAGACCAGGGGACGTGGCTGTCCTGCACTGGACCCCTGAGCAGGACAGGCACTGGCCTCTGGAGACACTGAGGGACGGGGGTACGTTGTCCTGTTTGGCTTGTTGAGGCCACAGGGTCAAGTGAGCCCTTTCTGGATTCCTGGAGCTCAGGACTGGGCTGCTGGGACTACAGTTATGACTGCGGATGGAGCAGCGCAAGCTCTCCCCTGGGACTCGCCCGCCCTCACTGGGTTCTCTGTCCTGAGTTGGTGGCCCTTGGAGGTCTCAGTATCTGAGGCATCCTTTCTAGGGTCCTTGCTGGGTTCCCTGCTGCCCCAGTGAGTCCTGGGGCCTGACTGCTCCGACCCCAGGTGGCTTCTCGGGCAGCTGCCTACCAGGAGCAGCTTCCACGGTGTGTGTACTTGTTTCCTTCTGATGCATCAGGGGGCCCAGGCTGCAGAGGCTGCCCCCGCATACCCCGACCCAGCTCTGCTGCATGAGCTCCCTGCTCCCCACTACCCTGGGCATCTCATTACTGGGCCAGGTTCCAGCGTGTGGGAGGCACTTGCTCTGTAAATATTTGCTGGATGAATGAACCGGCCCCACAGAAGCAGCTGGGTGCACACTTTCCAGGGGTGCTGTAAGTTGTAGGCATGGATGAGCAGACAGAGGGGTCTTTAGCCCCATCTGGGGAGCTGGACCCACTGCTGTGGCTCCAGAAGTGGCCCCTCTCCCTCCCTCCCGTTTCTCGTAGTCCTGCCTCCCCCCTACTGGCTGTGCCTGCTTCAGGATCTCACAGCCCCTCTGACTCCAGTCCTGACTTACACTGTTCCTGGAAGTTTGGCTGGTGAGGGAGGACCTGCCTTCCAACAGTGACTGCTGGTGAGCTCCTAGGGTGAGGACAGCCAGTGCAGTGAGTGAGATTAAAAATAGCACTTTAAGGCACTTCTTAGAAGACCTTTTTAGCCTAGGGAGGACTCCTGAGGTCAGCAGACTGTTTAAGGGCCGGTTTCTTCTATGTGCCTGACCACCACTTGTCACTCCCAGGTCCTCTTGTCCATTGCCCGGGCTCTGCTGCAGAAAAGAAGTGGAACTCAATCCTCACCGCCATACTCACTCTTGGCCACCAGGTGGCAGTGTCTGCAAAGCCCAGGTACCATGCCTCTGGGTCTACCAGCCCCGGGAGACAGAATAGAATTCAGGCTGCAGAGACTAGTCAAGGTCCCCCCAGCCCCCAACCCCACCCCGCAGCTGAGATGATCCGGGGGGAGGTGTGTGGGTACCACAAGTATTTTGTAAAAGAACTGACATTTCCTGGAGGCAGGGAGCCAGGCGGGGGGTCAGAGATGAAGGGACGAGGCGTTCTGGGCAGCTGGAACTGGTCACAGCTGGAGCAGGGGCAAGAGATGGGCGTGGAAGGGGACTGGGGGCTGCGGTGGGGTGGGCAGGCGCGGATGTTACAGTAAGGGAAAGACTGCCTCTCATTCCTGGCCGCATCCTCCGTGCTGGCTGGTACACAGTAGGCACTCAGTAAGCATTCGCTGGGTGTGGAAAGGACCCATGATGCGTCCTCAGCAGTGGATAGTTTCCAAGCACGTGGCCCCAGGAACCCCCTGCAAAGTCCCCCCGAGCTGCTACTGCCCCGTGTGGTCCCGGGTGTGCTCCCGATGCAGGACACCTGCTCCTCTCCTGCAAGCCTCCCAGGAGGAGGGCTCTCGGGTGCCCTCAGACCACACAGCTGGGACCCCGTGAGCCACACAAACTCCCTGAGAGCAGGACGCAGCCGAGGGGCTTCTGTCCATTCTGGCAGATTCCAGGGAAGCCACCGCCATCCTCTAGAAACGTGGCCCAGTGTGGTGGGTGTGGGGACCCCCTCACCCGGCCCCAGTGTGCCAGGCTGTGCTGCGGGGTTGGTCCAGCAGCCCAGGAAGGCAGAAACCAGTCTGACAAAGGCTGTGGTTTCGCCCTGGGTTCTGAGTGCTGTGGACGGCGTGGCTCACAGAGGCCGGGGTGCTTGTTACCAAGGAGCAGTGGGGAGCAGTGTCCGCCTTCAGGCTTTTGGAGGGGAAAGTCAGGAGTGCCTTCAACATCCAGGCATGGTCCTTGTTTTTGTTTTTAGTGGCCTTCATTTTCACCCCATCACAGGACCACAGAGCCAAGGCTCTCCCTCCCCGTCCTCCATCCTCGGATTGGAGCCAGGAGCTCCCTCGGGGCAGAGGCAGGAGGACTGGTGGCCAAGGCCACAGGGAAGGGGCTGGGCACTCAGCAGCAGGTCCAGAGTCAGACTCCTGGGATGTGTGTGTGGCCTGGCGTGAACTGGGCCACCAGTGTGCAGGTCTCAGGGCCCCGGGGCCGCCTTCCCAGCCATGGGAGGAGGACGTGCTCAGCTCAGCACGGGCGAGCAGTGGTCACTACCATCGCCAGCATCACAGCTCGATTTTTGAGTCGAGAGTGGTTCTCTGAGATGTGGAAATCAAGCAGGCATGGGTCACAGCGAGTCCTGGGCCTCCCGGTTAGGATCCTGTGGTTGCGTCCGTGGCCCTCTGCTGGCGACAGACCAGAAGGTCAGGTGGCTTTTTGGAGCCGGCCTAGGGCAGGCCCGATGCTCCGCTCAGCTGTCTCCAAGCAGTGCCTGACTCAGTGGATTCTTAGGAAAAAGAGGCCGATGGCAACCCTTCCCATGTGTAGAAGTGTTTTTGTTTACTTAGAAAGTTCTAGGAAGAGGACCCAGGGTTTGATAAGCCAGGAGTGAGGAGGAGCCGCCCCGTTCCTCAGCTCCCTTGCAGATTTGAGCATTCTGGGCAAAAACAGTCTAGACCAGGGGACAGCCATCCAACATCACACCTCCTAGAAAATCTAAAGCTCTTCTAGAGCAAGATAAATGTGAGGAGGACAAATCTGGGGTCCCAGAAAAAGCATGGGACTAACGGGAGGCCCAAAGGGGCTGTGTGACTCTGAAAAGTCACCAGACCTCTCTGTGCTTCACCTATGCATGGAGCAGGGACAATGAGACCTGCCTCACTTACCTCATTACCACGAAGGATAAAACGACATGGCATTTATCCAGTGGGCTCACAGGGAAAGGACTCACTGATTTCAAGCAGGGTGGGCTGCTGGGAGGAGGTGGCATCTTAGACAGCTCTTAGGAGATGAATCAAATCAATGAGCAGACAAGAGGTGGGAAGTCTTCACTTGTAGGACGAGCCTGAGCATAGGCAGAGAGCATGTCTGTGGTTGAAGAGGGCTTTGTGGCTGCAGCCGGCCAGAGGGTGATGGGCTCTGGGAGGCAGGTTGGGTGTGAGGAGTTTAGACCTGGTCCCTTAGGCTCTGGGCGGCCACGGGACATGTTAAGAGGTCAAGGATGAGCTCAGACCTGTTTACAGCTTCCCCGGCTGCAGGGTGCAGATGGATGGTGAGGGCAGACTGGAGACAAGTGCTCCTGGCCCAGGGCAGGAGGCCCGGACCCCGGGGACCCTGCAGGAACCACCTCAGCTCTGGAGGGAGGCAGGCAATAGCACTGAGAAAGGTCTGGGGGAAGCTGTGGACGGGGCAAGAAGGCTGCGGCCCAGGTGGGGAG